GTCCATACCTTCCTTTTGTCTTTGCGTCTCACGCTAGATCTGAAAGAGGGTGCCAGGAGGGCTGGGAGGTCCCAGGATGCCACAGCGACCGTGCCCGACGATCCTAGAACAGGGCCCCAAATCGCGGCTTGCTGTAACTTCTGTCCTTCTCTCTCTGTATACGTTTCCCCCCCGTTACTCCTCCCCGCTTCCTCCCCTCCTTCGGGAGGGGAAAAATTACCCCAGTGCGACCCTACCTAGAAGTTGGAGCCCCTAGGAAAGCAGCATTGGTTGCTATGCTATGCTATGCTATGCTATGCTATGCCATGCCATGCTATGCTGCGCTATGCTATGCTGTGCTGTGCTGTGCTGCGCTATGCTATGCTATGCTATGCTATGCTATGCTACGCTACGCTACGCTATGCTATGCTATGCTGGGCTATGCTATGCTATGAAATGCTGCGCTGCGCTATGCTGTGCTGCGCTATGCTATGCTACGCTATGCTATGCTATGCTGTGCTCTGCTATGCTAAAACTCAGCGAAGCTAAGGTGAAGGTACGCTAAGCTAAGACAAACCTGAGCTAAGATGAAGCTAAGCTAAGCTAAGATGAAATAAGCTAAGCTAAGATGAGATAAACAACGCTAAGCTAAGGGGACGTAAGTGGGGGAACCGCGGGGCGGATACTGGGGGAACCGCCCGGGGCGCTTTCCACTGCCCGGCCCCTTGAAGCCCAGAGAGTAAGAACCCTTCTAGGCAGAGCCTAGGTAGGGAACACACAAAGACACACTTTATCGTCGATACCCAGGAAAGGATGGGAAAGTATGGGAAGCGGAGGGGAAGACGAAGCTCCTGAGGATACGGACAAACATGGGTAATCCTGGGATTCGTGCCTGTTTATTACTTGAACGCCCCTGAGGCGTCAGACACCGCCGCCCCACCTTCTTGGATCGTGGATTTCGGGGGGGGGGGGACCACTGTGCCACAGAGATGACCACGGCATCGCCACGGCGGGGTTGTCGTCTTCGGCGTCGTGGTGGTGCTCGTCATTCCTTCGTGGTCGTCGTGTTCGGCGTCGTTGTCATGGCCCGTGTCGCAGTGTTCGGCGTCGTCGTTGTGGTGGTCGTCCTTTTCTTTGTTGTTGAGTAAGTAGATCGTCGTCGACGTCGTCGGCGGACTGGTGCTGCTGCTGGTTGTGCTTTTTGTTCGGGCTCCTCAGGCTGCTGGTGGAACTGCCGTTCGTGTTGCTTCCAGTGCTTGTGGTGGAGTTGCTGGTGTCGTCCTGCTTAGTGGTCGTCGTGTTGGGCGTCGTGGTTGAATTTGGTACAACGGCCCGCGGACTATAATGGTCACAATGCTGTGTGCTGCCATGTGGAATGTGGGTAGTGTGGGAGTTCTCGGGGCCCCCTTGGAACATTTGCCATTGACGGGGTCGTCGGCGTCGTTGGCGTTCAATGCTTCGTTGTCGTCGTGTCGTCGAGGTGTTGTGGAGACAGGCCAGGGTAGCTGAACGAATCTCTGAAGAGGAGGGAGCGGACTCGAAGAAGAAGAAGAGCTGAAGAAGCCCGAAGACGCCACGAAGAGGCTCCCAAATGGGTCGAAGAGGCCTCAACATACGCCCTGAAGAGCCCCCAAAGAGGTCGAAAACGCGCACGCAACGAAAGAAGGACACAGACATACCCCCAAAAACATCACAATTTAGTTTGGGCGCCTCAGAACGCCCTCCAGGGACCCTCTGTGTGCGCCCAGGACGGCTCAAGAAAGCGCCAAGAAGGCGCCCAGCTGGCCGAGGAGGGCTCCGAGAGGCCGTCAGGACGGTGGCAGAGAGCATCCGTAGAGCATCTGCAGAGCATCAGGCCGCAAGCGCTCGCTGAGATGCACGGGAGCTCCCAGAGAGGAGCAAGGAGAAGCCCGATAATCCCAGAATCGTCAACATCCTATGTGTTTTATGAGGTTTTGTGATTGTTAGGTTTATGTGGTCTATGTGACTCGAAGAGAAGTGTAGAGGCCTCTCGAACGGGCCAAAGTGGCCCTCAGGACAGTCAAAATGAGCCCCGGAGGGCCTTGAGAGGCTGCCGAAATTGGCCGAGGGGGCTCTTGGAGACATCTTGGAGAGGCCCGGGCGGCGCCGGGAAACCCCGTACGTCAAAGGAGGAGCGTCTTGGGACGAAAATGGCGGCCGCAGAGCGGCGCATGAGCAGCCGGAAGCGTCGGACCAGCGGAATGCGCAGCCCGCGGGGAGGGCCCCAGGAGGGGCGGCAAGAGCTCAGAGGAAAGGAATTCGGGGTGATGAGTGCGTGGCTAAGGAAGAGTGAGGGGAAAGAGTCGTACAGACCGTGCGGGGGGATCTCACGCGCCGTACCCCGGCCCGAAGTGTGCCATCGCAGGGGTTTGCCTGCGCGCTCGCGGGGGCCTCTCGGGGCCTCTTTTTCAGACTCTCGGGGGCCTCGTGGAGCCTCCGGGGGGCCTCCCGGGCTCTCTAGATGGGCTCTTGGGGCCTCCTGGGGGCCTCTTGGGGCGGGAGGCTCGAATTGGTGGTTCGTATTTCCCCTCTTGGCCCCCCCCTGGGGCCGTCTTGGGGCCCTTTTGGGCCATCTTGGGCGCCGCCCAGGGGATGGGGTATGGCGGAGGGGTCAAGACACCCACCCGCCCGCAAGCCGTCTAGCTCACCCCCACCCGCCCTCCTTACACATCAGTAACACCCGAGCCTGAGCATCTTCAGCGGTCGTCTTTGGATGGACAGCTACTGGGAACCAAAGCCGACCCCAGGTGCGCGACGTTTGGACGAGGTGCGCCACGCGTGCCGGGGGCGCCACGCGCGCCAGGCACCCCTGGGGCCCGGGCGTGCCAGGCACGCCTGGTGCGCCAGATGCGCCACGTGCTCCGAGTGCGCCAGGTGTGTGTCGCACACTCCAGCCGCGCAAGGTGCGCCGCGTTCGGGGCACGTGCAGAGTGCGTCAGGTGCGCCTGCGCACGTGACAGCACACATCGGGAGACATGTCGTCCCCGTCATCCTTGTCGAAGACCGATGCCCATCATTGTGTCTACTGGGCCTGCGCACAGCAGGCCACGCGCCACCACCCCCGCCGTCCCTGTCAAAAACGACTTGACAGTGATCACGGGATGGCCGCACATGATCCAGATTTAGCCGCGAGGTGCATGTTGTATTGTTTTTTTGTCAGGGGTGGTGTGCACAGCAGCCAACCCCCGCCGTCCTTGCCAAAAACAATACGAAGTGCTCGCGGGCCTCACGAACACGACTCACGACTTTGCTCCAAAGTGTACCTTGCATTTTTTGGCAGGGATGGTGTGGGGGGGCTGCATCGGGTTGGCCGCGCATGCTCCAAATGTGGAGACAGAGTGCGGTTTGTATGGCTTTTTCACAAGGATGGTGGGGGGCGGGTGGGCATGGTGTCGGCATGTTGCCTGGTTGGCCCCCGGTCGCCTGAGGGAGGGGTGTATATTAATAAGGAACAGTGATGCACTTCTCCCCGAAGGGGAAGAGGGGCAGATGGAAGACAAGACACGCTAGACCACCTACGGGGGATTTACCAACTTCAGCAACAAGTATGTTCGCAGGTCTTCGCTCACTGTAGTATGTGCTGATCGCGACTTCAACCTCTCATACTCTGTCTCTCGCCTTGAGATGTAATACTGAACTGACTCCGATCGCTGTCTGAGGCTTTGAACAAAACTCGTCGAATGGTTGCTGCTTTTGTAGTGGTGCGATCCTCTCACATGCTGTTCGGACCGTCGTCACTATCAACTGAGTTGCAGCAAGTGGGTCATCACCTGCTCTATCAAGAACTGCTTGAGTAGCGATCTCGGCCTTCTTGCGTGTCATATTCCATGCTCTTCCATTGAGTGCGTTCGTGAGCTTGATGGCGCAGAGCTTCTGAATCTTCTCCTCACTCGCATGGTAGCCAAGGATCGCTCTCTCCTCGAACTCCTCCGTATGCAGGGGCGCCGTTGTTGTCAACCACGCCCTCCCTGTCCACTTGTAGGGATCCGTCCTGGAACTGATGTTTGGTCGTCGTCATCTTGCTGCACACGTAGCTGATGATATTGTCGTCCTTGCCTGGGCTGTTGCTACTGCTGTCGTCCAAGCTGTTGGTGACGAGGCCGTCGGTGGTATGGAGTGCGCTGTGGGTAAATCACTAATGCGAGAATGAGCGCCAGCATGTAGTCTTGCACTTCCATTCTATATGAAATCATCGCAGACGTGGAACGTAATCTGCTCCGCTACCAGTGTAAATGATAGTCCCAATATCCAATCAACCTCTCTTGATGCCAGAGTGGGAAGACATACTAGTGACTCTTGTATTCCGTAATCAGGCGAATCGTGAGTAGGTGCGTACACCCTCCCGCCCAGCTGTGAACCAAACTGATTATGGGCGAGAGGAAAACACTAGGCACCAGCGAGAGAGAGCAGCAGCAGCAGAGTGAGACACATCTTATCATCACTTCTTCAACTCACATCTCTACTAATCTAATCTGCATTTCAAACGCCCCCCCCATCCCCCCCGTACCCCCCCCTCCCCGTACCCCTCCCCCGTACCCCCACCCCCCTTAGTTACCCCCCCCGTCAGGGAGGGGAACAGGGGAGGGAATCGACTTAACTACGACGTTTCTTTTCTCCGATCGTTTCTAGATTTCCTTGGGACTGGCGACGACGACGAAGACGACGGTAGCGTCTCACACACGCCGACTGGGTCGGCGTATTTCTGTATGCACATGCACTGTTTCATTATTTGTATGTATATCTGAAATCCTGTGACAGGTTGTACTCTTGGCCGAATTGCTCAATAATGGATGTTGCCAAGCTCTCTGGCTTGTTTGAGTAGTCGAGTGACCTTGCCCTCTGTCTATTCTCGATCTTCGTGCACCCTTGTGATAACCCTTCTGATGACATTGTTCCTGAGGCTGCAGTTCCTACAGTTCTCTGCGTAACATGAGCCTCCCAACGTTGTGCGCCCATAGCCTTTGGCTTCAGTCGGGGGGGGGGAGGTCGTTGCCCATGCCATGGCCAACGGGTGCCGGTTGCCGCCGTTGCCTTTGCTGTGGTTCCACACGGTGCCATGCTTCCTGCTCAGTGTCGCGTCGGGAATGTCGGCGGAGCATCCATTAGAGTGGGTCAACCCGCTCGCAGGCGCTGCTGGTGGGCAGAAGGCCGGGCAGCACCACAGCGCTGGGAATACCTTACCGCTCGTCGCGCGCCCGTGGGGCTTCAACCACTGGGCGCCAGTGTCCACCCTCGACGCCACGAGCTGGTGGTTCGACTCCACCGCAGACACCTTCCACGGAATTCGGTGCACCCACCAACCCTCGCCCTGGATCGGCGACTATGCTTGGTTCATGTTGCGGCCGTTTCTGGGTTGGACCAGTGACGAGTGGCTTGGCTTCACCAGCTACCAGACCGCGGGGGCCATCCGGCCCTACCTGATCGACATCACCGCGGGGCCCTACGGTGTACGGACTGAGTTTGCGCCCAGCGAACATGGTGCCGTGCTTCGCGTCACCTTCCCGCCGTCGGTGCCGACCGACGAGCGGCGCGTGTGCGCTTGGGTGCCCCTTGGCAGTGGGAAGGACGACGAGGATGAGAAGCGCGCCAAGAAGACAGGTACGCCCACTGGAGAGTGCCGCGGCGTGGGCTCTGGCGTTGTTGAGCTGACGTCGCGCAAGTATGCGCAGGGCGTGCCAGAGGATGCGGACTTCGCCTTCTTCGCTCGCCTCGAGGCGCCGGGCCTGCGGGTGCAGGAGATCGAGGAGAAGGCCCCGGACTGCTTCGAACATGGGATCAAGTACCTGAGGAAAGACGACGGCAAGATGAACATGGACAAGCACCCCCGTAGCAGCGAGTCCAGCGCTGCGAACTGTCAGGCGCGGTGCGCGCGGTCTGAGGGCTGCGCCTTCTTCACATGGTGGCCCGACGGTGGCTGCCACCTGCTCGACGCTCGCATCAAGAAGGAAAAGGGCCTGGGCCTCTTCTCGGGCCCTGCCAGGTGCCCGAAGGCTCCCGACAAGGGCACTCCGAAGGTCAAGCGCAACTGCTGCTTCCTGCTGGGCGATGCGGTGCAGGTGGACGTCCACATCGGCACCTCTCTCATCTCGGCGGCGAGCCCCGGGGGGAAGTGAGAGGGGGCGGGCCTCCTCAGAAGGCTCGGAAGTCACCTGGCCAGCCGAGAAGCTTCCTGAGCCATCCCCGAAAAGACAAAGGACCTCTCAGAGGCCAGATGCCTTCTGAGAAGCCCCGCCGCTTTCTGAGAAGGCTCGCCCCTTCTCATTTCCACTCTCTTGGCATCGCTCGGACGTGTGCATTTTTGCTCGGCGAGGACCATCGAGGAGCATCCTGGATCATCGTGCGAGGACCATCGGACGCACGAGACCGAAACACGAACGGGGGAAGAACGTCCGAGCGATGGCATGCCCTCGCTCGCCGCCGATCATCTCCAAGGAGCAGGCTCTGCACGCGCTCACCTCCGAGGTGGCGGGGCTGTCGCTCGAGGAGGTGGCCGCCGAGGGGCAGCGCTCCTGGGAGGAGCAGCTCCTGCAGGTGCAGGTGCTCGACGCGGGGCCTGCTAGCAGGACTACGGCGTGGCGCCTGGAGGTTCAGGAGAGGAAAAAACACACAGACACAATTCATCGTCGATTCCCAGGAAAATGTGGGAAAATATGGGAAGTGGGGGGAAGACAAAAACCCAGAAAATATGGGAAAACATGAGGAGTAGTTTTATTTGTGTGTATTTATTTGTGTGTCCTGGGGCCCCTTCAGAGGTGTTCTACACCAGCCTCTATCTCGGCGGCGAGCGAGGGGGGAAGCGAGAAGGAGAAGGCCCTCTCGGGAGGCGGCGGGACTTCTCAGAAGCCCTCGTGCCTTCCGAGCAGTTGACGGCGTCTCCCTGGGATGGCCGAGGAAACTTCTCGCAAGGCGGGGGGACTTCCGAGCCCTCCGAGAAGGCCTTCTCCTCCTCCCTCCCCCCCCGGGCTCGCCGCCCAGCTGTCGCATCCTGCTCTTCCCGCGCCGCCTCGACGAGCAGACGCCCGAGGGCACGCGCCACTGGAGCCCCTACGACGGCAGGGTGCACGACGGCATAGGTCAGCCACGCGCAGAGGGGTGTGTGTGTGTGGCAGGAATGGACCTAAACGGTGTTTTGGCGACTTCGTGGGCCGTTTTCGTTTCAACATCGTTTTGCAGCCAGGGCGAACTCGAGACGAAACGAGGTCCAGCCCTGGCGTGTGGGGGGAAGGCTTCTTAGAAGCACCCCTGCTTCTTTGAAGGCGCGGGCCTTACCTGTAGATGCAAGGCTGGCGCCTTCTGAGAAGCAGCCCTGCTTCTAAGGAGCCCCCTCCCTCCACCCACCAGGGGTCACGGACAATGGCTTCTGGGACACCTACCGGACCGTCTACCCTTTCCTGGCCCTCGCGTATCCTGAGCGGCTCGGCGAGCTGCTGGAGGGCTGGCTGAACGCCTACCGACAGGGCGGCTGGCTGCCGAAGTGGGCCAGCCCAGGGTACCGCGACAGCATGACCGGGACGTTCGCTGACGTGGTCCTGGCCGACGCCATCCTCAAGAACATCTCGGGCTTCGACCACTCCGTCGCGTGGGAGGCGATGAAGAAGGACTCTTACCAGGAGAGCGGCCCCAAGGACTCGACCCGCGGCAAGCACGGGCTGAGCATCTACTCCGAGCAGGGGTACATCCCCGTCGACGCCGGCATCCCCGAGGCCTGCTCCAGGACCCTGGACTTTGCATACGCGGACGCGGCCGTCTCGGCGGCAGGGCGGCACTTCGGGTCGCTGGAGAGTACCCCGCGCGCGGCCAGGGACGTCTACATTCGGCGGCGAGCCCAGGGGGGAAGCGCGAAGGGGCGGGCCTTCTCAGGAGGCTCGGAAGGCCCCCGACCTTCGGAGTAGTTCTCTAAGCCTTCCCCGAAGACGCAGACAGCTTCCCAGAAGGCGCCAGGGCTTCTGGGAAGTCCCGCCGCCTTCTGAGACGGCCTTCTCCTTCTCACTTCCCCCCCTCGCTCGCCGCCGATGCATGCTGGATGCATCCGAGCTGCAGTCGCGTAGCCTGCGCGCGCTGCGCGCACAGTTCGACCCCGACCAGAAGCTGATGGGCCGACGGCTGAAGAGCGGCAGCTTTAACGCCGAAGCGGCTGGTGTGTGGGGCAACGGCTTTACGGAAGGATCGGCCTCGCGCAGAGGGGGGGTATGGGGGAGGGGGGAGGGCGGCTTCGTAGCACCCCTGCTTCTTCGAAGGCGCGGGCCTTGTCTGTAGACGTAGGGCCCGCGCCTCCTAAGAAGCGGCCTCCTCCTAAGAAGCCTTCCCCCTCCCTCCACCCCCTTGTGCGCGCCGCCAAGAAGGATCCGCGTGGCATCACTCCTTTCCTGCCTTCAATGTCTCCGCGCTGGCGGAGTTGCATGGCGGGGGCGAGATGCTTCTGCAGCGCTTGTGGGACCTGCTGGCCGCCCCAAGCTTCTTCGAGGTCGGGTCCTACAAGGGCGAGATCCACGAGATGCGGGAGATGCGGATGATGAGCATGGGTCAGTATGCTCACAACAACCAGCCAGGGCACCACCTGCTCTATTTGTTTGCCATGTTGGGTGACCACAACGTGACTGCCCAGTTGGTCCGACAGGTGCTCACGCGGGGCTACTTCATGGAGGGCTACTCCGGCGATGAGGATAACGGCGAGATGGGCGCGTGGTTCGTGCTGAGCGCGCTGGGGCTCTACGCCGCCGCGACGGGCACCACAGACGAGTACGTGCTCGGCGCGGTTCCGCTTTTCCCCAGGACCCTCCTGCGCAGCCTCGATGTCACCGTCGAGGCGCCCTCGGCTGCGGAGGAGTCCCCGGCCGTCCTGCAGGTGCTCTGGCGCTCGGCGCCGCTGGCGCGGCCAGCGGTGCGGTACGCCTCGCTCCGGCTCGGCGGCGTGCTGCACTGGGTGTCCCCGGGGGACGCGAAGTACAGCGTCGTCGCGTCGAGGCTTCGCGGAGCACTGCACGGCGCCATGCGCCGCGCGAAGCAGCTGGAGCGGGCCGTGGCCAGTGCGCCCGCGCCGCAGCCAGAGCAGGTGCCAGGCGCTGGGCCCGGGCCGACGCCGAGGCTGCTGGCGGTGCTGCCTGCGTTGGCACTTGGCTCCTTCTGCTGCCAGCAGTGGCGCGCCAGAGGCGAGGGCGAGGAGAAGGGCGAGTGAAGGACGGGCTCACGGCGGCGCTGCCGCGGAGGACATGTGCGAGGACGAGGCCAGGGCCGCGGAGGTCTCGCGGGGCAGCTTCCGCGCCCCACCGCCACCTCGCCCCCGAGGAAGCTCGCTGGCGCCAGGCGCGCGCCGAGTCGCCGCGGCTGGGTGCCGGGCGCGCGCCGAGGCGCAGAGGCTCGCTGGCGCCCGGCGCGCGCCGCGTCGCTGCTCCGAGCCGCCGTGCCAGCCTGGGTCCGCAGGGCCCGCCTTCGAGTCGCAGGCCGCGCGCGCTGCCGCCCTGTGCGGCCACAAGCGCTGCCACCGCCGCCGCTGCCGCGGCCGCTGCTCGTTATCCCGCTCCTCCTCCGACCCCTCGTCTCCCTCGCCGAGGCTGTTCTCGCTTCCACCATCACTCTGTCTCGCGATCGTGATTTCCCTCGCCAAGGCTGTTCTCGCCTTCAATATCACTCTGTCCTTCAGTCGCGATCTCCCAGTTCTGGTTCCATCAGGGATACTTCCTGATTCGGGCCTCTTGTTTCCGCGCCGGAGTTGCGCTGGATTGCACTCAATTCGAGCTTCCTCGGATCGCATTGTGCCCCACGTAGGCATTGTCCTGCTCGCCTTCGCCCGCCAGTCTCCTGTCTTCCCCCTTGTTGCTGTCCTGCCCCTCCTCCGACTGCGTGCGGAGTGTCATCGTCCTCTTCCACCTCCTCCTCTGGTCGGTTGGTGAAACTTCTGGTCCGGCGCAGCGTCTTCGCGCCGATTTTGGTGTGCGTCTGCTGAGGTCCGAGTCACATTTGTCCTATAGCTGTCGGGGTGGATGATATCGCGGAGTAATTTGGTGGGAGTCAGAGAACCAAACCAAACTGGGGGACCGCAGCGCCAGCGCAGCGTGCAGAGGGGGTGTTTTTTTCGCCCAGACTGATATCGATGACACACACACACGCACACCGTGAAGATGCCAGGTAAGCGGCGAATTGCGCCAGGGAAGCTGCAGTTGACCACAACGTCGCATTGAGGCCGTTTTGTTGCCTTCTGGGTTTCCGTTGTGGTCCCGGGGCCGTTACAAAGTCTCGGGGCCATTCGGGGGCGACCAGGAGCCATCTTGGAACGATCTTCGGGCGTCTTGGAGCCGTTCCCGCATCCTCCTCAGGCAGCAATGCGTTCAAAAGACCGTCCTCCTCCGCACCGTCTTTGCTGTTTGGTTTTGAGAGTGTGACCCAGCGCCGTTTTTCTATCTGGACCGCACCCCTGAGCTCTCTCGGAGTGCTGTGACACCCTGCGCGGGGATGGTGCCATTGAGCACGGGCTGTGCTCAGGGCTCCTTGCGCTTCCTCGTTTGAGCACATCTTCGGCGGCGAATCCGAGGGGGAAGTGAGAAGGAAAAGGCCTTCCCAGAAGGCTTGGGAGCCCCCTGACCTTCGAAGAAGTTTGCTCAGCCTCCCCCGAAGACACGGACGACTACTCAGAGGGCGCGAGGGCTTCCGAGAAGCCCCGCCGCCTTCTGAGTAGGCCTTCCCCTCTTCACTTCCCCCCCTCGCTCGCCGTCGACACCTCTCAGGCGATCGCAAACATGGATCGAGGGGGCGTGGATTAGCGACGGGTCCCGCTTCCGTGGGAAATCGCGGATCCCCGCCGCTGGGCGAGGCGGCACCGGCCGCATCTTGGGGAGGACCGCGCGCCCAGACTACGGACCGCTCCTCCAGGCCTGCGCGCCACCGACGTCTCCCGCTCGGCCCTGCTGGGGGCTCCGAGGGAGCGCTGGTCCTGTGGTCCGCCTGCCCCGGCCTCTCCGCTCGGGGAGCGCCCAAGGGGCCTCCAAGATGGCCCCAGAACGGCCCACGAGGCCCCCAAGAAGGCCCCAAGAGGGCACCGAGACGGCCCCAAAGAGGCCTCTGAGACGAGACGCCCAAGAAAGCTTCCAAGGCGGCCCTGGAGCATTCCAAGGGGGCCCCAAGTCGGAGGCCCCGCGCCCTCCCCCCCCCCTGCGTGCGCCTTGGGCGTGCACCGCTGGCTGCCCCGCGGCGCCGGTCATGACCCCTGGCTCTGCTGCTTCGCAGCGGCGGCCTTCTTCAAGGGCTCCCACGAGGGCGCGAAGTTATTCGCGCTTCGCGCTTCGCGGTCCTCGTTCCTTCTTCCCCTCCTCCTCGTCCTCCTCTTCTCCCTCTGGGGGGGCGGCGCGAGAGCGCGAAGTTATTCGCGCTTCGCGCTTCGCGGAGCGCGAAGCGCGAAGTTGGGAGCCCTAGTTCTTGTTCAGGCCTCGCCCTTCGCCCCTCCGTTCTGGGGCTCTCAGATGGGGTCGGAGTCGATGGGGTCGGAGGATCGCGCCGCGTCGCCGATGCATCGGCGATGCATCAGCGATGCGGCTCGATGCGGGGCACAATTTTCTCCACGCCGACGTCGCCGACGCATCGCCGACGTCGTAAGTGCATGGCCGATGCATCGGCGATGCATCGCCGATGTATCGGCCATGCGGCAAGATCCTCCGACCCCATCTATTCCGACCCCATCTAGGAGGCCTCTATCCCAGCTCCCAGCTCCCAGGCTCCCGCCGAAGATCTCCTGGCGCCTCTGCCTTTGCCGCCTTCCGTGGCCGCATCTCCTTTCCCGGCTCCCAGGCCCCCGCCGAGGGTCGGTGGGCGCGCAGTGGGGGGGCGATGCATTGGGTGGCAGCGAGGGCTGCAGGAAAGGGGCCAGCCCTCTGGGGCCCCTGGAAAGGCCTTTTCGGGCGCCAGATGGGCTGTCAGGGCCCGAAAGGGGCACCTTTTCGTCCTCCCCTTGTATCGCCGCCCATTACTTCGCGCCCAAGAAAGAGGGCGGCCGGTCCACTTCCGACCTGATCTCTCTTGATACAAGTTTTTGTTTGTTGGTTGCCCTTTCCTTTCTCTCTGACCGTCCCCTCCTGTTTCCCTCTTTTCCCTCGCCCCCTTCGTTTTCCTCCCCTCCCTCCCTCACTCCCTCCGTTCCTTCTTTCCCCCCTCCCCCTCACCATCACTGCTCCTTCTCCTCCTCCTCCTCCTCCTCCTCCTCCTCCTCCTCCTCCTCCTCCTCCTCCTCCTCCTCCTCACTCCTTACAATCGGCATCCACCTTCGTTTCCTGCGCATTCTCTTCCCCCCTCCTCCTGCTGCTGCTGCTCCTCCTCCTCCGTAGCCATTTTGGCTCAAGCTGGTTCCCCGTGTCTCTCGCGGCTTCTCGCCCATGGTCGGTCGTGCGGCGCCGCTCGCGGCTCAGAGGAGGCTGGCCTGAGGAGGCACCGGTGGGATGGTGGCTACGGCGGGCTGCACGGTGGCTTTCGGAGTCGCCCAGCAGCCGCAGGGTGCTGCCGCTGGGACGCCAGGCGCTTCTGCTGCCGCGAGGGCGCTGCGGTGGGCGCGCCAGCTGGCGGCCCGGCATGCCGACGCGGGGCGATTGCAGGCTGCCCTGGACCGTGTGGAGGAGCTCGAGGTCGAGCTTCAGAAACTGCAGTCGGCAGTGCGAGCGGTGAGGCCCCAGGCCGTAGAGCAGGCCGCAACTGTGCTGCCGACGGAGAGGGCGCTTTCGCCGCCTCCGGAGGCCCACCCGGGGGCGCAGACCTCGCTCTGGGTGCACGCGCCGCCTGGGGCCACGGTGTCGGCCGCGCCGTCCCTGGAGGCGGAGGTCACTAAGCGCTTGGCCCTCATGGCGCCAGTGGTCGAGGCGGTGCTGACCAACTCGAGGGGAGACTCGATCACGGTCCGACGCCGTAGCGCGGCGGGGCAGTGTGCTGGGGGCCCAAGCGCGTGCCATGCGCCGCATGGGCAAGGCCAGCCTCAACCGTCTCCAGCGCAGCGGAGGGGGCTCGGGCACCGAGGCTCGGCGGCGCCCTGCGAGGCAGGCCAGCGCGCGCAGGCGGCAGGCCCTGCCCCACCGCCGCCAGCCCGCGACGCGCTCGGCCGCCGAGGCGGCCGCCGCCTGCTGGGAGGTCGCCGCACGGCGAGGGCGCTCCGAGCCCGCGGGGAGGCTTTTCGACCTCGCCCAGCGGGCCCGCCTCGCCGAGGTCGCGGTGCAGGGGCCGCTTGCTGGGGGCCTCGGTGGTGGACGGCGGAGGCCGAATGGGCGGGCCGTCCCTCCGCCACCCCTCCCGCGGCGGCTGCCGCCTCTCAGGACGATGAAGGGCATGCTCCTGGGGATGCCGCTAACGTTGCCCGTCGTGGCGGCGCTGTCCTGGCGAGTGACCATCGTCAGGATGGAGCTTCCCCCGTCTGGGAGCTCAGGGGAGCTTCCGAAGAAGTTCGCGATGAAGGTGATGACGGTCGTCCTGAACACCGCGGTGCTGGTGCTGGGTTGGTTCGCGACGCGCCTCTCGTCGCCGCTCGTCACGCTGGAGGGGTTCCTCCCGATGTTCGTGGTTGTGGAGGCGCTGGAGGTATGGCTCTTCCCCGTGTCGGTGCGCCCGCGCCTCAGGCTGAGGTCCATGCTGGAGCCTCCGACGACCACGACGTCCATGGTGGTGGCGGTCGTCCAGTGCACCGTGGCGCAGGTGCCACGCCTGGCGGCTGCGAACATCGCGATGCTGCTTGGCACGTTGATGGAGTTCTGGGTGTTCTTCTGGCAGGGCCTGGCGTTGCAGATGCCCCTTCTGGAGGCGTGCGAAGCGGACGAGCAGATCTCCCTCGACGTCGGCGCCGCCCCCATCGCCGCGTTGGCAAGCGGCGACGGCCGCCCCGACCCGTCCGACGAGCGGAGGGCCACGGGTGGGCACCGACGGTTTTGGTCATCCAGCGCCACTTCGTCCAGACGGTGGGCGCGGAGCGGCTGGGGGGCAAGCCGTTCGAGGTATGCGTCCAGGAGGGCGAGGCGGAGCAGTGGGCGCAGATCCTGGATATCAAGCGCGCACAGGGACGGCCTCGTCAGCAAGCTCAGGCTGAAGGATGGGCGCAAGTGAGCTGCGGCGACGGTGGCACGCGCGACCTGCTGGGTCCGCCTCGAAATTCTGGCGCGGCGCCCCTCGGCGTGGGTTTGGGGGGGCCGCCGCCTGGGATCGGGCTCGCACTTGGGTGCGAGCCCGCTTCCCCGTTGGGGTGTAGGGCGGCCGCTGGCGGCTACTGGGGGTGTCCGTTTTTGTCCCCGCGGGCTTGGGCTCCGCCTGGCCTCGCCCCTCCGTTGGAGGGGCGCGGTCGGGGCGGAAGCCTGTCTGGGCTTCGGTCTGGGGGCTCATCGTCGCCTCTTCTCCTTCTCGGAGCGCCGCCGCGGGTGGCGGCGGCGAGCCCGGTGACATGCTGGGCCCTGGCGGCCCATCCGCCCGTCTTCCTCCTCTTCCTCCTCGCCCTCCTTCTCCCGCTCGAGCGGTGGGTCATCTCGTCTTCTGGCGCGTCAGCAGGGCAGTGTATCAGCGTGTGTTTCGAACGGCTGCTTTGGCTCGAGCCTGGCCCGGCGGCGCGCTCGCTATAATGCCCCCGACCGCTTTTAGACACCGGTATGCACTGAAAACGAAGCTTACGTTCATCGCTTCTAAAGTCAGGTGGTGGCGGAGCATCCCGTTCCGCCACTTCCGCTGCGATGGCCTGCGTGGCGCGTCCGCGCCCTGGCGGCTGCCGCTCTACAGCGTCGGCTGCGACTTCCCGCTCCGCGTGCTCTACGCTTCGCGCTGGGTATCCACCTCGTCTCGACAGGCGTCGCGATTCGAGTTAGCCGGCGAGGTCCCGCCGACCCAGCCGCCAGGAGTGGCCGACCGTTATTGCCTGTTCCACAGCGTCTACGACAACGGATTGCGTTCCCCTCGCCCTCGCCTCCACCCCTGGGCACTCTCGAAATGTGTTCGAGGTGCTCGGGGGGCCCTCCATCGTCGCGGCGCTCGCGTGTGAGTGCTGCCGTCAGCGTCAGTTTCGAGCGATCCGAGTTCCTCGTTCGTAGCGTCGGCGCAGGGCCCCGAGCCATTCGCAACTGTGTTGCGGAAGCCCGAGGGGGAGAACCGAATCTGACGCGCCGCCCTCGTTGCATCCGCATGTGGGCGTAGCCAACTGTGTCGATCTGTCCTTCGATCCGACGTTCGCATCGTCGGCGTCGGCAGTGCGCCTCAAGTTGTTCGCAACTACATTGTGGAAGCCGGGGGGTGGCACATGCAGGCGAGAGCGGGAATGCGAATGGGGGTCGGGCGTCTGCGTTGTCATCCCCCCAGGGGGCCGTTGCCCAAGCTTGGGGCCACTCGCTGTCGGTTCTCTGGGGCAAGACCCTCGATGCTACTTGCGCGTTCCTTGCTGGGTCCTTATGCGTACTCGTATGGACTATCGTGCAGTCGGCAGTGCGCAGTGCAGTGGCAATGCGACGCGCGACATTCCTTCGCCACTACGTGGCGGGGTGCTCCAAGTGCAGTCTGCGCGCCAATCGCGTGACAGCCGGGGAGACCCAATGCGCTGGCGAGGAGGAGCGCGCTGCGGACAAATGCCCGCGATGGCTTCGAGGATCACTGCCAGAAAGCCGCCGTTGGTGGGCGCCAGGACTGTCGCGCCCCCTCGACGCATGGATGGGGTTCCACTCTGGATGGAAGGCCATCGGTGTGGGCATGGGCGTTGCCATCAGCTGCGTCGCCTGCAGGGGCGCGGGTGGCCGTGGCAGCGGCGACATGCGACGCCTCCGTGCAATGGGGGCCGAGCAGCAAGCTCGCGTGCCCCTCCAGCGCTGGGTGCGGGAGGTGATGAACTGGTCAGTGGCGAACGCGGACCCCAACGGTTTTCGCCAATCTGCTTGCGTCTCGTCTCGCTTGGCCAGCATGGCTCGCGAGTGGGCGGGCGAGTGGCCGCCGGCTGTCCTCGTCGAAGGTGGTTATATCAACGGCGACCCCGTGCCGCCTATCACCTGCCCGGCGCGCGGCTTGGCTGAGCGGTGGGGCCAGCCTGGAGGGGGGGCGCGCGCAGGCGGTATCGGCTCGGATGAACCTCGACCGATTGCCGCAGGAGCGCGTCGACGACCTCCTCGCCAGGTTCGACGTGCTCCGCAAGAGGGCGCAGCATGCCGCTCAACTCATGATCGGCTACGAGGGTCTCAGCTACTTCTTGCTGCGCGCGGCGGGCGCGTCGGACGTCCATCTCGCAGTGGTGGCTCCCGAGAGGCCCCCCTGAAGCCCTTCGGTGCATCGTATTTCCCATATGGCTTTCCGGGAACATGATTCCTTGGGCATCCGCCCACCGCCCTAACTATGTTTCCAATAGGTTTGACGACAAGGCCAAAATGCGCCTTTGGGTAAGCTCCCAGAGGCCCCCCTCTTAGAGAGCCGAACACATCATGCTCCTCGAAAGCTTCCTGGGAACATGATTCTCTATCTCGGAGTAGGCCTGGGAGGGGGGGCGGGCCGCTGGCTGTTTCCCCCATCGGTGCCCGCAGGGGTCTGCAGGGGGTGGGGTCCAGAGCTCCCGAGGCGGCCCGAGCCCGCCCCGAAGCAGGCCACGACAGGCTAAGGGGTCCCGAGAGGGCCCAAGACGGTCCAACGAGGCCCCGAAGACGCCCAAGATGCCCTCAGGACAGCCGACGATGACTCCAACACGCTCCAGGACGGACTCAAGAGGCTCCCCAAGAGGGCCCTGGAAGGCAAGATTCGCTAATTTTCGGTGGTTTTTGAAGGATTTTGGCGTTCTCGCTTTCCCCGTTTCCCAGCGCTCCCTCACGGCCTCGCTCGGTGGCCCTTCAGATCGCTCCAAGAAGGCCCACGAGGCCCCAACGAGGGCCCCAAGACGGCCCAGGAGGCTCCCCAGACAACCCAACTGTGCCCCAAGAGCTCCCCAAGACAGGGCCCAGAGGGGGACCGCCAACCGATATTTCAAGGTCTCTGGCCCTAGATGCCGCCTGTAGGCCTTGGAGGTCACCAAGAGGCTCCCACGAAGCCCCGTGAGACGCCCACGAGGCCCCCAGAACCCCCAAGAAAACCCCCAAGGGGCTCCCAGGGAACGCCCAAGAGGCCACCCAACACACCCCAAGAAAATCATGTCCCTAGAAATCCTTCCGGGGACGTCGCTCATCATGGGCCCGGGAGTTCCCGGAGGCCCCCAAGGGGCCCGCAGGGACCGCCCAAGGGACCCGCCAACACACCCCAACAAACCATGTTCCCAGAAAGCCTTCCGGGGACATGGCTCATCATGGGTCCGCGAGTCTCTGGAGGTTTCGAAGTACCATCATGCTACAGGAGAGCTGTCTGGGAAATTGATTGGGGACATGACTGATCGCCTTCTTGCGGCCCTCCGCATATCGTTTCGCACAAAGTTGTCCCAAGTGCCTTCTTGAACCAACGACGACGACGACGAAATGCTGAAGACGACGACGACGACGACGACGACGACGACGACGACGACGACGACGACGACGACGACGACGACGACGACGACGACGACGACGACGACGACGACGACGACGACGACGACGACGACGGCGGCGGCGGCGGCGGCGGCGGCGGCGGCGGCGGCGGCGGCGGCGGCGGCGGCGGCGGCGGCGGCGACGACGGCGACGACGACGACGACGACGACGACGACGACGACGACGACGACGACGACGACGACGACGACGGCGCGCCCCAACAGGCGACGACATTACGTCGACGACGGCGACGACGGCACGCCCCAACAGGCTTCCCAAGACGCCCCCAAGCCCATGCTCCCAGAAGGCCTTCTGGGAACCCGATTCATACGGCCTCCACCCCCCTACACAACCATTTTCCTCGAAGGCCTTTCGGAATGCAGATTGGCATGCGTGGACTGTGGTCCACTACTTTACTGGAGCAGTGAATTCGTCAAGGCCTGGGGCCTGTTAGAACCTGAGTGCGCGCGCGAAGCGCGCGCGATGGTTCTAGTGTGTATGTATCTACTTACCGACAAATAGATCGACCTATATATATATATATATATATATATATATATATATTTCCCCACATCCATCTATCTATATTTATATACCAGTCAACATCTGGATATTTGTCTTCGTCAGTCAGAGTTTCTGCTCATCCTGCTCCTCTTCCGCCTCATTTCGCCTCGTCCTCCCGCCAGTCTTCCCATGTACCCTTGTCCGTCCTTCTCCTCGGGCTTCTTTTCTTTGTGACTGCTGCAGCTCATCCTTCCGTGTTCTTCCCCTGGATCTTCTTTCGCATGCTTCGCCTCATTTCCTCATCATACCCTCGTCTTCCTCCGTCCTTGTGTTGTTCCTGCCATAACATATTTTGCCCCGAGCGCTTCGCCCCTCGTCGTGGCCAGCATGCGGATGACGGACGTTCGTGCCTAGCGCCTGGCGCGTGATCGCAGGGGCAGGCGTGATGAACCTCAACGTCGTCCTGGGGCAGCAGCTGCCGCCAGTGACCCTCTCCCTAGGCGTCGCTTCGGTTACACTGATGTGCCTGTGTTCGCTCGAAGTCATAACGCCTTTGGACCTCTACCTGAACTGGAACCTAGTCCTCTACGAGATGCAGTTGTGGAGGCTTGTGACTTGTTTCTTGTTCTTTGGGGACTTCGGGCTTGCCTTCTTCTGGAACATTCACGTGCTGATGCACTATCGTGAAGGCTTCAGCCATTCTGCCGCTTACTATCTCGGATTTTGATGAGGGTGTACAGCGTTGCAAGGGACCGTACATGGCCCTGGGATGGGGGACCATCGGCGATTTGAATTTCCGTGGATGGTGCATGGGGGCAGGGGAACAGCCAAGCACTTCACAAGCCTTCTCACCCCTGGCAAGCTGGGGTCGGCGGACTGCTGTTCTCTGGAGGATGCCACCTTCCATGGAAAGACTGCGGATTTCTTGTGGATGTTGATCTGTGGTGCGGCTTTAATGCTATGCCTGACGTATATGTTTGGGAGTGAGAAAAACTTGTTCTATAGTGGAACGTTGATTGATATCATGGCCTACATTTGGAGCCGCAGGAACCCCTCAGCTCAGCTACTGTTGTTCTTCTTCCCGATTAAGGCGCTGTATCTCCCGTGGGTGCTGGCGTGCTTCGCGCTGCTAATGGGCAGTAGCATAAAGGACGAGACGATGGGCATATTCGTAGGGCACGTGTATTTCTTTTTCGAGGATACCAGCTGGGTGATACCAACATCCAAACGGTTCCCCCCCTTCACCCCCCCTTGCCGCCCCCTGCTCCCCCCCCTTCCCCCTGCCACTGCCCCTTGCCCCTCTCCCCCTCTCTGTCCTTGTCCATGCCCCTGCTCTCTCCCTCATCCTGTGCCCCCCCTTCCCGGGAACGACCCCCATTCCCATCGCTCTCTCCCCACTCCGAGGATGTCTACCCGGTGTTACCGACATCCAAGGGCTTCCGGTTGTTCAGGACACCGAAGCTACTCAAGGTCGCGCGCCCAGCAAGCCCTCGCCCGGGGAGCTTTGCGTCTGCAGAAAAGGAAGGATCATGGGCAGGGTGGGAGGGAGGAAGGAGGAGGAAGAGGGAGCAGAGGGAGAAGGGGGAGGTGAGAGGAGAGGGAGGGCACTCGAAAATGTGGCGGTCTGGGCACGTGTGTGTTTGTTGTTTGTCTGCCTGCCTGTCTGTCTGCTCGTTCGTTCGTTCGTTCGTTTGTTTGTTTGTTTTGTTCCCTACCTAGGCTCTGCCTAGAGGGTTCTTACTCTCTTAGCTTAAAGGGGCCGGGCAGTGGAACGCGCCCCGGGCGGTTCCCCCAGTCCCCGCCCCGCGGTCCCCCCAGTTCCCTGGGAGCTTTAGCTTTAGCTTTAGCTTTAGCTTTAGCTTTAGCTTAGCTTTAGCTTAGCTCTAGCTAAGCTTTATCTTTAGCTTTAGCTTAGGTTTAGCTTTAGCTTTAGCTGAGCTTAGCTTTAGCTTTAGGTTAGCTTCAGCTTAGCTTTAGCTTAGCTTTAGCTTAGCTTTAGCTTAGCTTTAGCTTAGCTTTAGCTCAGCTTCAGCTTAGCTTGAGCTTAGCTTCAGCTTAACTTAATCTTAGCTTTAGCTTAGCTTTAATTTAGCTTTACTGTTACTACTAATGCTGCTTTCCTAGGGGCTCCAACTCCTAGGTAGGGTCGCACTGGGATAATTTGTTTGTTTGTTTATTTGTTTGTTTGTTTGTTTGTTGGTTTGTTCGTTCATTCGTTCGTTTTTTGGTTTGTTGGCCAATTCGTTAGTTTGTTTGTTTGTTCGTCTGTTGTTTCGTTTGTTCGTTTCTGTGTTCGATTGTCCGGCTGATTAATTTGTTGTTCTTGTTCGATCGTGTGTGTGTGCGCGCGCGCGTGTGCGCGCGCGCGCGTGTGTGTGTGTGTGCGCGCGCGCGCGGTGTGTGTGTGTGTGTGTGTGTGTGTGTGTGCGTGCGTGTGTGCGTGTGTGTGTGTGTGTGTGTGTGTGGCATTTGAGAGTCGTGGAGGGGGTTCCCCCTGCCTTCATCGCGGGGTTCGGGGCACCTACCTCCTGTTTGTGGAGTTCGGGCCCCGCCCTCCACGTCCTCCGGGGATAGGGGTAGGCTTAGGATCGAAAGGGAGCGACTGCGAGGGTGGGAGAGAAGGACAGGAGGGGAGGGGTCAGGGATTATGGATGAAGGGGCAGGGTCGGTGAGGGGAGATGGGCTGACTGATGGGGAGGGAGTGGGGGGGGGGCAGATAAGATAACTGATTGAGGGGCAGGGGTGGGGATGGGGGGAGTCGATGAAAGTATTGGTTGGGGATGGCTTGGGGACAGCTCACCGCCCGAGGGCGGCGACGGGAAGCGAGGTGAGCAATCTACGAGAGTGGACCGGTTGACGGGGAGGAAGCCGATGGATGACACGGATCGACGGGAGGGAAGATGGGAGAGGGGGCGGTGGCGGAAGGGGGAGGGGCCGTGGGGAAGAAGGGGGGGGACGGGGAAGCGAGGCCGAGCGGGAAGTGGGGGAAGGGGAGGGGGACAGGGATGGGGGGAGAGGAGGGGAGGGGAGAGGAAGGAGAGGGAAGGGGAGACGAGGAGGGTGGAGCGCGGTCGAAGCTCTGTTCGAGAGGCGGGAGGCCCGGGCGCGGGCGGAGCGCCGATCTGCCCAGGTCCTGTGCAGGCAGCGGGACTGAGCGGCGCCGCCTGGGGCTGTGCGGTCGGCTGTCCCGCCCTGGCCTCTCGTCTTCGTCCTTTCCTTCTCCTGCTCCGCCCTCCTCGTCCTCGTCCTCGTCCTCGTCCTCGTCTTCTCCTTTTCCGCCCTCCTCGTCCTCTCGTCCTGTCGTCCTCTCGTCCTCTCGTCTCTCGCCGTCGTCCTCTTCTGACTCGCCCTCCTCGTCCTCTGTGGTTGTCAGGCCCCCGTCAGCCTCTCCTCCTCCTGCGCCTCTCTCTGTGCTCCCTTGTGCGCCGCCATATCGGCTCACAAGGGCCCTTGAGCTATCATGGCGCGCCTGTGACGGACGCGCCCACGACTCCGTAAAAGGAAAAGGAACGTGCTCTCCTCTAGCACGGGTTCCCCTATTTGTACCTCCTGTCTCTGTGTATACATACAGTCACCCCCGTACACTCCACAGTGGCAGCGGAGCCAGTGGTTGAGATCCACGAGGGGAGTCAGGACGACTTTCATGCCATTCGATTCTCGGGTGACATACTCTTTACTATTTTCCCTTTCTTCCCGCTCCCTACCCCATTGCACCGAGCGCCGCCATGGATTTTCCAGATGACGCTCAGCTTCAAGAGAATGAAATTCCAGCAGACCCCTGGTTACAGCCATATCAGGATCCTTGGGCAGGAGCTGGAGGACGAGAAAACGTTCTTTGGGAAGGTGATGACAGTTTTGGCTGGTCAGATCAAGACTGGGCCCGCTGTTTATCGCAGCCCTGGACGGAGACACAGCCCAATACGCAACAATCCTCATCAGGTTGGACGGTGCGGGGACGTGATTCGCCGGCTGCACCAGATTGGCAGAACACGTCTCTGCGAGGACAGGCTCTGCCTCTTACTCCTGTTGCTCCGACCTATTGGGGAGATACCAGTGCCAGATCTTCTGACCGCCAGCGGGGGCAATTTCCTGAATAATCGGAGGCCCCGAAGATACCGAGTGACCTACCTTCCGCTTGGGATGGGGAAGATCTGTGTACTCGTCTAAACCTTTACATGAAGTGGCAACAGATGTGGCCCGCTTCTACCATAACTTTGAGAGCGTGACGCGGATACCTCATCTATCGTTATGCCAAAGACGACCTCAATATCATCATTGACGAACTTGCCTGGGGCCAGCTGCCTGAGGAGGGCGGCGGGCACGTTGTGGCGAAACGCATCCAGAGGGCTGTTGCCGAGTTCCAGGACCGCAGGATGCTGGAGGCTTCTGAGGAGCTCTGTATATTCAGAAGTTACCAGGCGTTAGCGATAGGAATCCCTGGCCAACGATATCGCTCGTGAGCGCGTGCTTTTCCGAGGACTCGAGGAGCGCGCGATCTTGCCAGAGGACTTGAAAGGGTGCGTGCTTCTGAGAGAATCCAAGCTTAATTGCGCTGGCAGGGATGGGGTTGAGCACTGGGCAGAGGGGGCGTGCGATTTTGACCTGGCGCGTGAAAAGCTTCGTGAGCTTGCGCGACCGCTACCTTCTGGCACGGGCGGCCGTCGTATCCATGGCATGAGTGTCTCTTTGAATTTTGTCGGATGTCGAGGAGATGATGGTGGATGCGAGGATCAGGGGTCGGATCGCGACGTTTTCCATGGGATTATCATGCAACGGTCTTCGTTCACTCTGCCCGAGGCATTTGAGGAAGACAAGGTCATGCATGAGGCCATCAAGCCCATGATCGGTGACGAGGTGCTCCTCGTAGCTGGGGACTTGCCCGAGGACGGGGCCATCGCATTCTTTGCTGACTGTAGTCTGGTCCACCAGTACTTGCACGAACGGAAGCTTGGACGAGGCTTTCTCAAGCAGCAGCCCCCAAAGGGGAAGTGTGCGCCCCCCCGAGAGGGGGCGCGTCGAGGGACGCGCGCGGGGCATGCCCGACGGAAGCGGTGGAACAACAGTAAATTGATGAGCCGCTCGAAGTGCGCCCGCCGCGGGAATCTGGGGCACTTGGCTCGAGACTTCTCGAGTGAGCCAGGCGAGCGAGGGCGCGGGCGACGAGCGGGCTTCGGCGTCTTCCAAGCGTTTCCCCGTGAAGCAGATGATGCTTCGCATGGCGTTCGCCAGCGGGGGCCTGCGATCCAGCCTGGAGGCAGTTCCTTCGCCTTTCCTATCGTTCTTACTGCCGACGCTGGTGGCCAGTTTCCATGTGGCGTCAGGTTCAGGTGGGTTTCGGTTTGGTGGGTGCGGGGGCTCAGCGCATGGAGTGCGCGGCAGAGGTAAATTCGAGAAAATAGTGAAATATCCTGGGGGTACCTGCGGTCTGAAGCCCATGCAGATACCTGCTCTGGAAACGGACGCCATTCGTGTTTGAGGATCTACCAAGCTTCTCTCCATCTGGGCATCGCCTATTGCCGTGGCCTAGAACTGTGTTGCACTTGCGGTGCATTTGATTGGACGTGGTGTGCCTTGCTACTCCCAGTGGAGATGCTCAGGCAGTCTGGCGTGGTTCTCAATGTGCCAGGTGGCGCTGCCGCTTGGAAGGCGTTCGACGGCGGTCGGTCGAGAGTGAGGTGGGGCCAGGCAAACGTTCCCCCCTTCTTTTTCTGTTTCTTCCTTCTTCGCCCCCCCCCACCCCGAGGGTGGTTCGCAGAGAAAGACGCAAGTCAGCGCAGTCTCTCCCGAGACTCAGGGTTTACGCCAAGTCGTTGAGCCTGAGGGCGCCGCGTTCTATGCGAATCCGTGGGTACCCTCGGCTCGCGCCTGTGTTTCCCAGCCGACTGTCTCCTCCCCCGACGATCTGTGCAATTTTGAACTGTGGGGGGCGCGTCCTCGCCGAGAAGGGGCCGCGGCCGGGGCTTCCGACGAGGTCTTTTCAGCCCGCGGTGACCCCCGAGAAGCGGACGTGGAACTGGGCGTCGTTCAGTCTGAAGTTATTCTCCATTCTGGGCCGCGTGGCCACGCGGCGCCGCGCGGGGGCCCGCGTCGGGGCCGAAGCCTGCGAGAGACTGCTCTGGGGCGCCGGGGCCTGGATCAGGATGCGGCGTCGTCCTCCGCGCGCCAGCTTCGCGACCCGCGACATTTCCCCCGAGTTCTGAAGGTCAGCAGCGGGGAGTGGTTCGCGGTGGGCAGGAGGTGGGCAGGAGGCTGGGGCCCGACGGCTCGGGCGCCAGGGCGACCGGCCAGGCCGCGCGCGCGCGCCCCGAGAAGGTCGCGCGCTATCGTGCGCCAACGGGGCAAAGACAAGACCCCGTAGTGGACGTGCGACGACTGCCAGACGCGCTGGGCGAGGCCCCCGACCGACGGCTTCATCGGCTCTGGCGCCCCAGGCCGCATGGAACGAGCGACGTTCGGGAGGTTTGCGGGCTGCGCTTTCGAGGCGGTCTACGAGACGGACTTCCAGCGCTGCGAGTGGTGCGTGGGGGCTCGTGAGTCGGGCGGCCCAGTGTCCCATCGCAAACTCCGACGCCTGGCCATGCGCGTGACCGAGCGAGAGATGCGCGAGAACATCGTGGGCGGTGGCGGCTTCGAGGCGGCCGTGGAGGGGCGTGGCGCCCGATGGATTTGCGGGCAGAAGATGCTTTCAGCGGTCGCGGGGTGCATGTCCGAGTTCGCCA